ATTTACAAATAAATTAGCGTGATTCACTAAGATCTGCCAGCATATATGCATTACTGGAGAAATCTGAGATGTTGAAAAAGTATTGTAATTTATTATATCCCAAACTTTCTTAAGAAAGTTTCTTAAGAACCAAATAAATATCATCAGCTAGTTTATATACCTGACATATTTATTGCAGCATTCCCGCTGAGCACTTCCCATTGTCACGTGTTCTCACACATTGTTTTCGCAAATTGTGTTTTGAAAGAAGTCAAGGGAAATTCAGGCCAGAGAAGCAAGATGTTATCTTTTGGAAAGGATGAGCCCACTCTTATGGAAGAGGATAATCCATTCAGAGGTTTGTGAAGCCAGTATCCTCCGGTGGGTGTGATAAATCCACAGCGTCTGAATCCAGGATTTTGCACTGGGACCTTGAAGCTGCATGAACAATTTAGTCATGTTCCAAATAAACACAGTGTATCATTATTATTATTGGATAAACATGAACATCTGTTAGGTCAAGTCTGCCCTGTTTCCTTAAAGGCAACTGGAGTCCCTGAACTTTGTTCTCATATGTCTATTACAGATGGATCTGAGATGGGTGTGTAATGCCAGAGCAGCTTCTTGATCATCTCTGTGTTTGGAAACCAGATTTTAAAAATAAAAGAAAATCGGCCAGGCACAGTGCCTGTAATCGTAACACTTTGGGAGGCTAAGGTGAGCAGATCACAAGGTCAGGAGATTGAGACCGTCCCAGCTAACCTGGTGAAACCCCATCTCTACTAAAAATACAAAAAAATTTAGCTGGACATGGTGTCATGCGCCTGTAGTCCTAGCTACTCAGTAGGCTGAAGCAGGAGAATTGCTTGAACCCGAGAGTCGGAGGTTGCAGTGAGCCAAGATCATGCCACTGCATTCCAGCATGGGCGACAGAGCAGGACACCGTCTCAAAATAAATAAATAAATAAAAAAGCCACCTGCTCATTTCAGGTGGGTCACATGCGTAGAGAGCACCAGAGACTACGGTTGCCTTCTCAATCCCATCAACAGAGCTATTTTTAAAAGATGAGAATATTTGAGTCAGCCCCCTTCTTCATTTTTAAAGCGATGTTGTGCATATTTTAAGTAATTATTTGGGGCGAGAGGAATCTAAATGTCACCATTCTCTTGTCCTAACTCAGCCTGGTACCATCCCAGCTGTCACTGAGTGGGGACAGAATACAGAGGATGATTTCTCACCAGGCTGAATCAGCAGTTTGCCAGTTTGCAGCAGGTTACAACTGTAAGAGACTTTACAAGCGTCTAGTCCTACCCCTCATTTTTCAGATAAGACATTGATACGATCCGCGAGAGATCATGCACCTAGTTAGTGGCAGAGCTTTGCCCAAGGCCAGGAAATAAAATCTATCTTTCTGGAGCAGCATTCATCGATTTGCACTTACTGAGTACCTTTTACAGGCCCAGCAACTAAACTGGGATGCAAAACCTGGCCCTCAACTTGCTTACCATCTGGCTGTGCTTCAGGACTTGATCATCACTGAGCCAGGATGTGCAAGGATACAGGAAGTATCCTTGTAACAACCCTCGCTTTTACCATATCCAAGAATTCTCTCCAGTTCCTCCCTGTGTTATTCAGGAAGACTGAAGGCCACTTAATTAAGTTTTACAAAGAGGGCCCCTGGTGACTATGTAAATACTTAGCTCATCACTACATTGTGAAAATTAGGAAAGCATCCTCGTACTTCATGGAGGAGGACCCGACTTGTAAAGATACCTGAAGTACTAACAGCATCTTTTTGCCTAAATTAAGTCAATGATGCCTCATAGAGGTTTAGCAACAAGGATACCCGAAGGGGGAGCTCTTCTGATTTGGAACTGAATTGAATGGACTGGTTGATCAAACCCAAAAGCACAAGTGTTTTGGAGCTGCATTTAGTAGCAGAGTCAAAGGAAGATAATCGGAGAGCCACACAGAAATTGTTAATCTTCGTCACCCTGTATTATTTGCCTATTGGGTGCTGATGAAATGCTGACAGCATTGGGCGGGGGAGGTTGGGGGAGTGAGTATTACAAAACGTGCAAACACGCAGACATTTACCAAAGATCAAGTTCCAAGATGTAAAAATCAAACAAAAAAGAATTTCTCCTAATTTGACTCCCAAAAGACCTGAAAAGCATTTCAAACGTGTCCAGTAAGGCATCAAAAATAATTATCCCAGAGAGGAATCACTCCCTTGGTTGTTTTGATGTAATTCTGTCTATAAACAAATTTTCTAAACCACTGCCTTGGCTTCCTTTAAAAGGTCTCTAGAACAAAAGTACTTTGGGTGACCCCAGGATTACTGAGCAACAGTAACCAAGGATGTGGATGGGGCTGAAAAAGATAAAAACAGATGAGGCACTTTTTGATGTCAGAACTAAAATAATGTATAATTAAAATGGAATAAAATGCAGAAGTTTAGAAACAAAGAAATAATCCTATCAAGAAAATTAGCAAGCTCATTTAAGAGAACGTTAAGATTTTTTTTAAAGTATCCTATAAAATCACTCTTATGCTACCCAGATGGCTCTAGGAGGTGACTTCCTCATGTAATTAAAATTCGCTGTCCTCCTCTTTTCCTCCTCCTTCCCTCCTCCTCCTCCTCTTTTTTTCCACAATAATAGTTACTGTTATCAGCCATCACTAATTGAGTGCCTAGGCTCTCTCGTACATTCCCTGCACTTCTCACAGCAGCCATTTCAATTAGAGGTTGTTCACCATTTCTTAGATGAGGAAATGGATGCTGGGAGGTTTGGGTTTCCCACAGTTAGCCATCTAGAATGCGGTGTAGCCAGAGCAGCAGTCTTTAGTTTGGAGGACACAGCATCAGAATTCCAGAAGGAAGTGAGGTGAACGTAAGGAAACAGGGAACCCCTTTGGCACCAGTGCTTGGGATAGCTTATGCTCTGAGTCAAACCTACTGTGCGATCCAATCATGCCAATGTCCACAGGCCCAAGTACAATTAAATTGCATTGACACAGAATCTGTTTCCACCATACAATGTCAACTGAAGTCTGACCCACCTTCTTCTTGTTTGTATCAAATTTCTAGCGTACCTTCTTAGTACAATAGTTGTGCTGTGTCCCTGAAATTGATTTGTTGTTATTGTTGTTGTTAAATATAGTGAACAGCATTGCCAGTGCTCTGTTGGGGAGTTACAAAAAGAAGTTGCTATTTCCAGGAATCCCAAGGTGGTGTTTTTCTTCTTCACTATCATTCCTCTCTCTCCAAACTTGAATTTTCATCTGCCAGGGTTGAGTGGAGCAGGAGTGGAATGCATGAGCACACCAATATCATATTTCAATAAAGCAAGAGCCAGCTCTACTGAAATGTCCACTTGGGTTTTTAACATGGTAGCGCTCAGAAGATCTCAGAGCTAGGCTATTTCTGATGGTCACAAGGGGAAGAAAATGTAGAGGTTTCTGCATTTATAAAACCCAGAGGCTCATAAGTACTATTGAATTAAGCGAGCCAGACTGTGTGTTGCTGAAGTCTTCATCCTTTCTGTGCTCTTAACATGAATCCTGTCTCTGCTTTTCCCTTTCACAGTGACCTCCCATTTACTGAGCTGGTCCTTCTCACTCTCACCTCTCCCTTCCCCACCCTTCATCTCACAAGCAATCCTGAAGGACTGAGCTAATGGAATATTACAAAGAAAAAAGGAAAATAACTTCACAGGGGCAAATTTGCACCTTCCACATTCATTAAAAGACAGAATTCCATTAGGGTTGATTTTCTAGGTTTCTTTTATAGTTAGGAAGAGAGAGGTGTTAGATATCCCAGGCAGGGAGTCAGAAGCTGAAAGCTGAAACAGTTCTGCCAGTTTGAGAACCTCAGGAAGAGAGCCAGGGCTATGCAGTCAGGCATTTGGGATCATATCCCTTCTAAGAAATGTGCCTTGGTTCCAGTTACTCCTTTATCTCTGGCAACAAGCACCAGGGTCATGAACTAATAAGGACTGTGGGTGGAACTTGGAGCCAGAGCCAGAGGATGTCCCGCCCTGCCTGTCAGGGTTTAACCCAAAAAAACAAGAGCAGCGTTCCTCACCCAGGATACCCTTAGAGGGTTAGAAGCAAGCAGCTTCCCACTTGGTCCAGCTTTCTTCTGCACCCCTTCAGGATACATAACTGAAGCTGTGGGGCTTCATTTGGGCCATTTGGCCTCTGTGCGGCAAGCAGCCATTGGCAGGCTAGCAATAGCAGAAAGTTACCAAGGATCAAGAGCAGCTACCTTTCATAGATGGTCCTTAACTGACTGGCACCGTGTAACATTTTTCTTAGATTATTTCATTTGATTCTCACAACAATCCTGGGTGAAAAGTCATTTTAAAATCCTAATTTTATAAATGAGACATGGAGAGCTTGTCATTTGTCCAGAGTCCCACAGCTAGAAAATGGCAGAGCTGGCCAGGCCCAATGGCTCACACTTATAATCCCAGTCCTTCAGGAAGCCGAGGCAGGTGGATCACGAGGTCAGGAGATTGAGTCCATCCTGGCCAACATGATGAAACCCTGTCTCTACTAAAAATACAACAATTAGCTGGATGTGGTAGTGTGTGCCTGGGGTTCCAGCTACTTGGGAGGCTGAGGCACAAGAATCGCTTAAACCCAAGAGGCAGAGTTTGCAGCGAGCCAGGATCATGTCACTGATACTCCAGCCTGATGACAGAACAAGACTCCATCTCAAAAAGAAAAAGAAAAGGCAGAGCTCAGGTTGAAGGGATTCTAAAGCCTTTGATGTTAACTGTTACAGCATCTGAGAGGAGTGAGTAAATCATCCAGGTACCAGTGCTAGTCAAGGTCCTGTGGAAACTCTTTCAAATGGGGCAATCAAAGAACACTTAATGAGCAGTCTGTTGTTTTTGTTTTTGTTTTGAGACAGTCTCATTCTGTCGCTCGGGCTGGAGTGAGGCGGCACAACCTCCGCCTCCCAGGTTCAAGCAATTCTCCTGCCTCAGCCTCCCAAGTAGCTGTGACTACAGGCATACACCACCATGCCCAGCTAATTTTTATATTTTTAGTAGAGGTGGGGTTTCACCACATTGGCCAGGGTGTAATGATGGGTCTATTTTAAAAGGTGTGGTCAGGATTAAGGGAAACCAGTGAGGGGTAGTGAAGTTCCCTGGCTCTAGACACTGTTACCATCCCTGTGGCTGAGAGAGGAGGGAAGAGGAGAGAGGGGTTCTGGAACCCAGACAGAGGAATTGAAGTTGCTGGAGAGAGTGGAGAAGCCTGCTGTAGAGAAAGGCCGAACTGCAGAAAGGAACATGGTCGACTTGAGCTGACTTGGCAGGGAAGGAGCCAAGGTACACATAGCCTGACCTCATTCTTCTTTCTCCCTCCAGGCTCTGCCACTATTTCCCATTGGCCAAACCCTACTAGAAGAGAAAGGCTAAGAAGCCCGCTGGTGCCATCCATACAGGTTAGCCTCCAGGGCCCAGACTAGGATGAAAAAAGGCAGGGATGTGTTGAGGGAGCATTGTATATCTGAAAATAATTTTATTCCAGCCTTTTCTTGACTGACATTTAGCTGTTTATATGATTATACATTGAACATAATTTTTTCTCAGACTTTGCAGACATTGCTCTTTGCTGCTAACTTCTAGCATTGCTTTTGAGAAATCCAAATCCACTGTGAGTCTTGAACCAGTATGTGCAACTAGCATTTTCTCTCTAGAAGTTGATAGGATCTTCTCTTCATGAGTTCACTGAACTGCCCAAGTCAGTTCCCAATAATCCTTGTTAAAAAAGAAAGAATCTGGCCGTACACAGTGGCTTACGCCTGTAATCCCAACACTTTGGGAGGTCAAAGCGAGTGGATCATGAGGTCAGGAGTTCGAGACCAGCCTGGGCAAGATGATGAAATCCCATCTTTACCAAAAAATACAAAAATTAGTCGAGTGCCGTGGCAGGCACCTGTAATCCCAGCTACTTGGGAGGCTGAGGCAGGAGAATCGCTTGAATCCAGGAGGCAGAGGTTGCGGTGAGCCAAGATCGCGCCACTGCACTCTAGCCTGGGTGACAGAGCAAGACTCCGACTCAAAAAAAGAAAAAAAGAATCCATCTATTTAGCAAATGATCTAAACAAATTTTAGAATGATAACTTACAAGGACAGAAAAAGATATTACTTATTGATAAGTGAAGAAATCACTTTTCCCTTCAGGCAGAATTTAGAACACAAGCTAATATAGGTCTTGAATTGTAAATCCTGTTGTAAGAGGCATTCTTTGGGCAAATAATGTTAACGATGGGAAGAAAACAATTCATGATTGCGGCAGCATCCAGAGTAAGTTTTCTCCTCAGCATCTAAAATACCTTAGTTATCCTGTTCTCACACGAAATTGCTACTGGGATTCCCAAACACGGACCCAGGTTAGCACTAAACAACGCGTGTCTCTAGAGCAACAGACCCTTCAAAAAGCCGACCTACTAGACATTTCTCTGATAAAAATCATGTGCTTTTTTCTTACTGAGTTTACTATTTTATGGAAATAAATGTTAGCTGGGAAGAGAATGTGCCTTGTTATAGGAACCCACCATTCAGTAAGTTGTAACCCAGACACAGAACAATTGGTGACGGAGACTCTTTTGTGAGCTGTGGCTCCTCATGGAGCCCAAGTTGTTTGGAAGGAGATGATTTCCACAGTCTGTGAACACTGAAGATGAGACTGGCTTGGGGCCACACGCCAAACTTCACAGCCAGTAAGAGCTGCTTCCATCAACCCACAGCAGCTCTGACTTTTTAAATCAATTAATTTATTTATTTGAGACGGAGTTCCACTCTTGTTGCCCAGGCTGGAGTGCAATGGCACAATCTCAGCTCGCTGCAACTTCCACCTCCCAGGCTCAAGTGATTCTCTTGCCTCAGCCTCCCAAGTAGGTGGGATTACAGGCACGTGCCACCACACCTGGCTAATGTTTGTATTTTTAGTAGAGACGGGGTTTCTCCATGTTGGTCAGGCTGGTATTGAACTTCCAACCTCAGGTAATCCACACCCCTGGACTTCCCAAAGTGTTGGGATTACAGGCGTGAGCCACTGCACCCAGCCTATATATTTTTAACAATAGAAAAGAAACTACCACAGGGAAGAGAGAGAACAATGGCGTTTTGATAAATGGAACAAAGATAGAGTGTGACTGACAATTCAGGTCAGAAGGAGAATTAAGGCACAGGAAGACTGACGTCTGCCGGCCTCCCTGCCAAGAAGCAAAAACTCAGGGGGAGGCGTCCAGCCACATGCGAACTGGCTCAACAGTGGCCATTGTGTTTCAGCAGTTTTGTCGGATGTTTTCTATAAAAGAGCATTTTTTCTTGGACTTGAAACATTCTTATATGCATGATCGACACATACAGTAGTATTTCTGAGACCTAAGGAAGGAAGAACCGGAGGGAGGTTGTGGGATTCCACTGAGAAATGTTCTCCTTTGTCTCCTCGGAGATCTTTGAAGATGGTTCAGATGAAGTTGCTGCCAGTGAAAGGAGCTAGGCTCAGAAACCTCTAGTTGCCCTTTCTAGACTTGTAATCCTCTGAAAAATGGAAATTAGGAAGCGTTCATTTATGACCTTGAAAAAAATCGTTTACAAAAGTATATTATAACGTATCAGTAAAACGAGCTGGAAAGAGGGTTTATGTGAAAGTTCATGTGAGAAACACAGCTATTAGCAGGCATGCCATTCCCCACCTTGACCCCAGCAGGAATGTGTAAATTGTAACATATGGAATGTAAGCCCTGACGAGATGTTTCATAAATCTGCCTGGCAATGAGCATCACAAGGCCCTGCATGAGAACAGGCCCCAGAAAGAGAGAGACAGTGAGTGTTGTGCCTGACAAGGTCTGATTTTAATAAGCTCAGACTCTGACAATCAAAAATTTCCACACAATATTCTTTAATAATATTGATTATTTCCTGACAAAGGGGGCACTTTTTCATGGGACCCAGCCCAGGTAATATGTACATCCATCCATTCATTCAGCCATTCAAGATGTATGTACTGAGGGCCTGCAATATGACAGATGACACGTCAGGCACTGCAGATACAGTGGAGGGCAGGAGGGACACTGTTGCCCCGTAGGGTTTACTATATGTAGGAAAACAGATATGAAACAAGTAATAGACTTTGAGACCAGCCTGGCCAACATAGTGAAACCCTGTCTGTACCCAAAATACAAAAATTAGCTGGGTCTGGTGGTGGCATATGCCTGTAATCCCATCTACTTGGGAGGCTGAGGCAGGAGAATTGCTTGAACCCAAGAGGTGGAGGTTGCAGTGAGCCAAGATTGCGCCATTGCACTCCAGCCTGGGTGACAAGAGCGAAACTCCATCCCACAAGAAAAGAATAATAATAATTTTAATTGCAGTTTTGATCAATGCTGTAAAGGAAAATAGCAGCACTCTGCCAAACTTTCTATATGCATGATCTCATTGAATCCTCTAACAATTCTCTGCAGTAGATACTACCATTAGCCCCATTTTAGACAGAAGAATACATGGACAGAGGAGACATGGAGGTTTACTTGTCTCACCCAAGGTCACACAGCTCTGGAGTGGTGGAGTTAGCATACAAAGTCAATGTGAGTCCACACCCCAAGTTCCTGACACTAATGCCCTTTTTTTTTATGAGCTGGGTGAGGAAGTGGGTGCTAATTTAGATTTGAGGTTAAAGAAAATACCTTTCAGGATGAGATTTTAGGCCAAGCCTCAAGGATAAGTAGGAATTAACTGGGCAAAAGATGGTAGCAGGAGTATTCCAGAATTAGGGAATCGCATGTCCAAAGGCCCTGAGGCAGGAAGGTGGTTGGCCGTGGTTGTTGATGTGGAGGCCAGTGTGACAGGATTGAGTGGTGTGTGGGATGAGGCTGGAGAGGCAGAAAGGAGTCAGAGTAGGTGGAGCCTTGAAAATCATGTTAAGATACCTTGAACTAAATCCTGAGCGGAGTGGCAGCTCCTGGAAGACTTGACTTTATCTGGGGCTGAGTGGTGTGGTTCCAGGCATAACTACTGCTGCAGCCAGGAAAAGAGATGTGTTCTCCCCATGGGAGACCGAGCTTGTTCCTGGGCTAGTAACTCACCCCTCCTTCCCAGCATCTTCTGTAGAAGTGAATGGATTCTATATACTTCTCCTTTAGCAGACTTCTGCCCCCGGAACGGTTAGAAGACAATGATATCAAGAAAAGACTGACAAATGCAGAAGTTCATTCAGCACTGAGATCTGCTTAATATTAATCTCAGTGGCCAGGCGCAGTGGCTTATGCCTGTAATCCCAGCACTTTGAGAGGCTGAGGCAGGTGGACCACCTGAGGTGAGGAGTTCGAGACCAGCCTGGCTAACATGGTGAAACTCTGTCACTACTAAAAATACAAAAATCAGCCAGGTGTGGTGGCACGTGCCTGTAATCCTAGCTACTTGGGAGGCTGAGGCAGGAGAATCACTTGAACTCAGAAGGCGGAGGTTGCAGTGAGCCAAAATATCATGCCACTGCACTCTAGCCTGGGCAACAGAGTGAGACTTGTCTCAAAAAAAAAAAAAAAAAAGTGTGTGTGTGTGTGTGTGTGTGTGTGTGTGTGTGTGTGTGTGTGTAAATCTCAGCTACCACCATTAATTTTGGCATTTCCCAAACTATGGGACCTCAATTAAAATTTAAAAAAAGATCCTAAACAAATTTTCATGTTAAAAGTAGTAGTTTTTTTCTTACATTCCTAAGACAGATATCTATTACTCTGTGTATTTGTTTTATCAGTTTTTTCCTTTATTCATTCATCAAAGATTTGCATATCTACTGTGGCAGACGTGAAACATACCGAAGTAAATAAGACTGGGGTCCCTGTGCTCTCAGGGCTAGACAGAGCCTCATCCCAGGGAGCACTTGCACCACCTGATGCCATCATCCCCTGGGGTAGGCAGAATAATGCCCTCTGCCAAGAGATCCATGCCATAGTTCCTGGAACCCAGGAATATGTTAGTTTACGTGGTGAAAGGGATATTGCAGATATGAATATGGCATGGGCTTTGAGATGGGGAGATTATCCTGGATTACCTGAGTGAGTCCAATGCAATCACAAGAGTTCTTTTATTTTTGTTTTTTGAGACGGGGTCTCACTCTGTGGCCCAGGCTGGAGTGCAGTGGTGGCAATCATGGCTCACTATAGCCACCACCTCCTCAGGCTCAGGTGATCCTCCCACCTCAGCCTCCTGAGTAGCTGGAAAGCTGGGACTGCAGGCAAGCCCCACCATCCTCAGCTAGTGTTTTTGTTTGTTTTTTTATTTGTTTTTGTTTTTGAGATGGAGTCTTGCTCTGTCACCCAGGCTGGAGTGCAGTGGTGCAATCTTGGTTCATCACAATCTCCGCTTTCCAGGTTCAGCCGATTCTCATGCCCCAGCCTCCCAAGTAGCTGGAATTACAGGTATGCACCACCACTCTTGGCTAATTTTGTATTTTAAGTAGAGATGGGGTTTCACCATGTTGGCTAGGCTGGTCTTGAACTCCTAACCTCAGGTGATCCACCTACCTCAACCACCCAAAGTGCTGGGATTACAGGCTTGAACTACTGTGCCAGGCTCAGTTTTTGTGTTTTTGTAGAGATGGGGTTTTGCTGTTGCCCAGGCTGGTCTCGAACTCCTGGGCTCAAGCCATCCATCTGCCTCGGCCTCTCAAAGTGCTGCAATTACATATGTGAGCCATCGCACTGACTGCAAGATTTCTTATAAAAGTGGAAGAGGGGAGCTGGGTGCGGTGTTTCACACCTGTAATCCCAGCACTTTGGGAGGCCAAGGCAGGTGGATCACAAGGTCAGGAGTTCAAGATCAGCCTGGCCAGCATGGTGAAACCCCATCTCTACTAAAAATACAAAAAATTAGCTGGGCGTGGTGGTGTGCCCCTGTAGTTCCAGCTACTCAGGAGGCTGAGGCAGGAGAATTGGTTGAACTCAGCAGGTGGAAGTTGCACTGAGCTGAGATCATGCCACTGCACTCGAGTCTGAGCAACATAGCAAGACTCTGTCTCAAAAACAAAAGTAGAATATGGAGGCAAAAGTATCAGAGACAGAGGTGTGAGGACAGAATCAGAGTTAGAGTGGTGCCATTGTTGGAAGGGGCCAGGAATTCAGCAAGGCAAGCAGGCTTAGGGAGCTGGAAAGGGTAGGGAAGGGATTCTTCTGGAGAGCCTTCGGAAGGAGATGCAGAGCTGCCAACACCTCAATTTTAGCCTAATGAGACCCATTTTGGACTTTGGATCTCCATAACTGTAAAATAATAAATTTGTGTTCTTTTAAGTCACAAAACATATGGTAATTGGTTGCAGCAGCAATAGAAAACAAGTACGCACCCCACTCCAGCCAGGACCCAGCCCTAGACAGACCTCCCTCTTAATCCCTCACAGTTTCCCACTGGGCCCGGATGCAGCCTCGCAATTGTTCACAACCCAGCAGTCCAGACACCTACTTCCAATCGACTGGTGAGAAAGCAACTCACCTGCCACCCTGAGGGGTCTGTACAACAATGGATACTTGCTTGTGACCCCTCCAGCATTGCCATATATACACACATTAATACCTGGATATTTCTTTTATAACTCTTACAGATTTTTCTTCTAACTGGGTTCCTAAAGTAGCTGCTTACACTGCTGTGTGTCCTTGGGCAAATTACATACATATCTGTGCTTCCATGTGTTCATCTCTAAAATCAGAATAGAAATAATAATGATCATCTAGCGTTATTGTAAGGATTAAACGAATTAGACATGAGAGCATTAAAAATGGCACCTGGCACACAGTAAGCGCTCAGAAATTTTAACCATGGTGATGAAGATTGTTATTATTATTTCCCACAGCATTTGGCATGAGGCTTAAAAGTCCTTTTTTCCTTCTTTTTTTTTTTTTTTGAGACGAAGTCTCGCTCTGTTACCCAGGCTGGAGTGCAGTGGTGTGATCTTGGCTCACTGCATCCTCTGCCTCCAAGGTTCAGGCAATTCTCCTGCCTCGGCCTCCCTAGAAGCTGGGATTACAGCCACCTACCCCATGCCTGGATAATTTTTGTATTTTTTTTTTAGTAGAGATGGGGTTTCACCATGTTGGCCAGGATGGTCTCGAACTCCTGACAGGTGATCTGCCTGCCTCAGACTCCCGAAGTGCTGGAATTACAGGCATGAGCCACTGCGGCCAGCCAAAAGTCCTTTTTTTTTGTTCAGCCGGTCTACAGTGTGGAAAACGCTCTAGAGGGGCAAGTTGACAGGACCCAACGGGGGAATACTGAATTAGGGTGATGATGGTTGAAATAGAGGTAGATAGACTTGAGAAATACTGCAAAAATAAAAACCAACAAGGCCTGTTGATGAATTGCATCTAGGGGTTGAGGATGTACCAAGGATGACATAGTTGGAAGACTTATAATGATATTTTATAATGATATGTTAATACAGCATAAAAGAAATCCTTAGTTTGCTTCTCTGCTGCTCTCCCCTCTGCTATCATCTTTTCCTATTGTGATAACTCTTTTCTTTCTTTCCAGAACAAAGAAACATCAGAAATGTAAAAACCAGGACCAGAAGGAGGCCCCAGGTACAGGAGGAGCATGAAACATCTGGAAACATGTAGCAAAACAGATTTTTCTTCTAACT